CCTNCATTTCATTGATGTAGGTCTAGATGTAGTATCTAGTCGATGGGATAATAAACCACTCCTGTTAGTAAAGCAGGTTGGAGGATTGTGATGGATATAATTTCTAGTCGATGAGACAATAAAGGTGTAAAAATAATAAGATGGTGCGCGATATTTCTGCAATGTGTTGCCCATTGTCATTGGCCTAATGAAGCACGGAAGAGGAAGTCGTCAAACATATAATATCAAAATTTTGTTTTTTGCAAGCATTATATAAGGGGAACCGCTGTAAGTTTCCTCATCCTAACCTCATGTAGCGTTCGACCTTGAAACCTGTTGTCGTCGTCATAATACTAATGAGAAAACTTTATGTTGATGTTGATATGATTCTGATCTGATCTTAAGAAAAACAAAAGATTGAAATCTTTATAGAAATAATGGTATCTAATAACACATGAACACGAATGATTAATGTTTTTAAATATATCGAATTTGTTTATCTAAGATTTAAAAGGATATAGGCAATTATCTAAAATGAAATAACGTGGCATCAAGTTCAAGGATGATTATGATGTAAAGGTAAAGAAGCTGTATTGAAATGTTCGCATCATAGCAGTTTAATTACATATTGGTATATCTAAAGTTTATCCGGATTTTAGCGCTTAGCGGCCAAAGAAAACAACTATCCGACAAAAATTATTTCCTCCGTCTGTTTGCTAACACCGCCAGCCAAAACAAGTCTCTGCCCTCTCTTTAGGCAGGAATTTGATTGACTGGCGGTGTCAACGGCACAGAACGGACGAATGATCAAGAAGACCGTCTTTCTAACTGAGCTACAAATGTACTCCCCAGGAAGGACTCTACGTAGTACCAACAAACTGCTCCTTAAACCAGAAACTGGACAACTTGCTACCTATGGGCAACGTTCTTTTTCTATCCAGGCGCCTTTACTATGGAATAATCTACCATTTAGTTTAAGATCAATTACCTCCGTTAATAGTTTTAAGGAGAAATTAAAAACACATCTCTTTACGCTGGCCTTTTCATAGAGTTAAAGTTTTTAAATTAATAATGTATCATAAGTTGTCTATTTGTATTTCGTTGTATTTTGTTGTATTTTGTTGTTCGTGCTATATGTTTCCCAGTACTTTATTTTTTATATTTCATGTATTTAGTTTTTGTTTGTGTATTAGAGCCTATATTGTACAGTGTACTTGAACACAAATGTGAAAGGTGCACGATAAAAAAAACTTATATTATTATATTATTTAGACCTTGGCTGAATTAACTATTGAAAAAACAGTAATAAAAATGTAAAAAATGTTTTGGTCTTCTTTTGATTAGACTGCTATTCTTTTAGCATCTGCCCTTACTACGATGTACTTTCGTGTGTTTCGAGAATTATTTTATACGTTTACATACATTTGGTTAATCGTCAATGTGTGACAGGGCCTTTAACAAGAATAGAACTTTATAGAAACCTGAGATGTAGAACTATCAGAATCCCTATCGACATTGCGTGACAAAGACAAAGAATAACCTAATTTTGAAAACAATTACCTTATATTTTAATGAAAGTCATCTAATTCTGTAAAAACTACATTTTTATGCAAAATGTCACTATAATGATAACAGATTACCTGAATTCTTTTTTATAATAATCAACAACCTGGATTTAAACGCCTTTAATCAGCATGTGTGATACTTGGCTTCTAGCTATCGATAGTAGAAATAGGTAATCTTGGACTTCATTTAGGCATTGGACCCTATTAATAAATAATAAATGGAAAAAAATTGTACCGATTTCACTTAATTTCACGTGAGTTCATGAAGTAGTAGTTAAATTTAAGATTTCAGAAAGTCGTAAGGCATTTGATCTTCCTGATCACTAAGTTCTTATAGTACATTTGTATTTAATTAGATGGACCTATCGTTTTTTTTCTCTATGTTATTGTTTCTCAAAGGTTTACCTTATAACAAACTTCTTATTAAGACCAATGACTTTAATTTAAGGCTGGACTACGTTGCGCTGATGACGCTCATATGGACCATAAAACCAAAATCCTTTTTTTACTTACGTCGTTAATTCATTGTTATAATTTTTTTCTTTGCTTGTTACGTCTGATTATTATTTATACCTTTGATAAACGTAAAGAGGTTTTATAAACTTGTATGTGTATCGGGAACTAAGATTAGAACCATTCCAATTTTAGTCAGACGTCCGGGGCTCTTGCAATTCCATTAAAAGTAAGCCTTTTATAACGTCACTATCGTAAAAATTGCTATTTTATGTAAGAAATTGCAAAAACCTAAGACGTCTTATTGAACATATGAATAGTACAAATTGATATTATCAGTGTCCCCTTTTCACATTTTTTCTTAGAAACCTCTTTACAATCTCTTTTAGAATCTTGTATTGGATATAAATTACTTTGAAAACATGACACACCTTCACAAGAAAACAAGGGTTGGTAATTTTACTTCCTGCCATCTCGTCTGCTAGTAATTATTATATTATTCCTTCAATCTTTTAATGACGGTGATTGTTTGACAGCGCTATAGATGATAATTAAGCAAGTCGGTTCGTACTTAATACTAATACTAATGTCAAACAGTAAACTAATAATGATTAGGAGCACATTAACCATTCATTCGACCAATCTTACCTTAGTCTCAGAAATGAGAATTGTTTTGCTAGGCTAATTTTATAGAGTTCACAGCATATCATCAAAATTTTTTATGGTAACCTTTGCTGTCATTTAGCTTGTTGTTTCAGTTTGAAGGCTATTTCCGCTAAAGAACATGTTCACGCCGTATATATCATACTATACGCCTTGTCGACAAAAAGTACAATAAGCAGGCAGGGGTGAACCAGTGAAGATAGAAATAGAAGGTTAAATTTCTAGTTTAAGGTATATTTAAGGGGATTATGAAATTGTCGTTCAGTTCTAGTACTTCTAAGCTTTTTACATAAGACCCAAATAGATCCCCCAAAAATAACCATTGTTGTCTTCAAAAAGTTTAGTCGTGTTTTTCTTGTGACTAACTATAGAGAGTCCGACACAAATCCGTAAAACATTAAATTCTCAAAAACTAAAAATACATCATTAAGCCAATTCGGAACTCTAATTTCCTTCTTCTGATTCGGGATAAACAATGGTCAACGATGGAAAAGAACATGATATAAAGGGTTAACTACATTGACAGTTATCCATTTATGATTGAGGACGTTGTCGAAAGCAAGTTTTCTCAGTTCACATGGCGATTGTAAACATAGTAAACCTTTTGTACAAGAGCCCTTTCTATGAACTGCCATGTTAAATCGACGTCGTTTACTTCGAGGCGGAATAAGGGAAATCGCTTTATTCCTTCCATGAAAATACCGCGTATTTAAGCTGCTGACCTGCCCCCACCACCGCCGCCTTCCTAGATTAAAAAATTTACACCACTAATTCCTTCAAGGATATCTCAAACTAGGAATTTCTTTTCCTATTTTATAGATGTCTTTTCTATATAATATGGCAGTGTCTCAAGAAAAGACGACTAGTCATTTCAACTTTCAGATGCGGATATTCCTTGACACACATGGATTTGAAGATTAATTACTGGCTATAAAATTCCCCTTTCTGAGACTAAGGTAAGATTGATAAAAATATGGCGCAGCTATATCTTTAATGTCATCCTTATGTCTAAAAATAGAATATCTAGCATGACTGTCCTGCTATCATCCTAGTATTACATCCTACTTTTATAGGTATTCTTATAATTAATATATTAGATTAAACCAAACGGTGGTGATATTACTGTTTGGTCATTCCCCATGAAATACATAAACCTTAAAATATCATGTTGTCTTTGTGGTTATGATGCCCTTTGTACCATTATAGCAGTAGTTTCCAACCTAGGGGTGATCACCCTCAAGGGGTAATTTGAAATTTTTGGCTGGTCGCTATGTAGACAATCATAAAATTTTGAACAATTATGATTTTAATATTCTCCGAAATGAAAACGCTTGTAGAGAACACAAACAGATAACCATAAAATAGTGAGGATTTAAAGAGGGGGTAATGCAATCGACCAAGGAATTTAAAGGGAAGACAGAAAGGAAAAGATTGAAAAAATCTGTATAATTATAGCGTGACACCATCTAGACTTTTCTAAAAATGCATTTTGAAATTAGTAATTAGACGTTATACAAGACCAGTACATGATAAGACAAAATTTCAAAAAACGATCTAGACATGAAAATGAACATCATCAAAAGGCTAGTCTATATACTTTTAATGATAAGACACGCTATCCGCGGATTTGTCGCTCGTGAGTAGGAAGAATCAGAGATATAAAACACCACACATCAGCACTCAACCTTTCAGAAGAAGAATGGAACCATCTGACGTATATGTATATGAAAGATTATTCCAGTAGTATCAGTAGTTTGATGTTTTGCACCCTTTAGAATCTAACGCCTGGATTTTTCGCACCAATCGTAAAGCGGAAAGAAGGTAGTATTTTTTTTACATTATTACTAAATTATAACGTAATGATCAAATCACTTGCTGTAAAGTTTGTTCACCCTGGAATTTCGAAATACATTTTAGCTGCAACTCATGTAGTGATGTTAATTTGGATTTTGAGTTTCGTTTTGCGGACCGTTTGTATGTTTTTTTTTTACATTTCTATAATTAAAGGAACAGGTAGACCAATCGTACGTTAGTTTCAGAAACTGGAATAATTATATTAGCTGAGATAATAAGTAATAAGCTCACCGTCGAAATTTTAGCCTTCAAATCCATGTGTGTCCAGAATTATCTGCGTTTGAATGTTAAATTGACGACTCGTCAATTTAAGAGACATAAATAGAAATAGTGAGTAAAATTTCTAAAAGTATATTTAAAGGAAGTATTTGATTTTCATATATTTCTAGTACTTCTAAAGACTATTAACATATACTCAAGACTAAAATCAACCCCTCAAAATGGCACATCAGTCCAAAGGATTCAGAACTATGGGGCTCTACTTTATGAAATTTGTCAAGTTGTAATTTTTTGTTAATTTTCCCTTCATATCTTTTTAAGTTATAATTGTCAACTATACCTCTTTTTCAGCCACCTCAGAGAAAATGAACCAGCAAACCAACGAAAGCAATAATTTCAACATGTCCTACCAGAGTGGCACTTTACCAGAGAGGTCAAATCCCTACGCCTTAATGATCCCGTCTTTAGTCACCATCGTTTTGAATTTATTAAGTTTCGGTGTTGTTCTAACCAATCAAAAGCTTCAGGCAAGACTCAAAGTTTGTTTCATTGGTCATTTATTAACTGATTTGGGATTTGGAGTTTCAAACTTAGAAGTTTCGTTCAGGATTCTCTTGAGTATTAACAATTCTAGTTCTTGCTACTGGAGCGTTATAACGTATTTTGGATTTTTAGCTGTAACAAGCTGCATGGCTTTATTACAAACTTTCGATCGTTTCCTCATATTGAAACTGACTTATTCATATGTCGCTTGGATAACCGCGTCTAAAATGATCATTATGGTAGTCTTGATTTACATCATTAATTTCTTAATATTTGGATTAAGTTTCTACATTGGATTTCAAGATGAAAGCGAGATAAGGTGCATAGTGTTAACTTCAGGGGGCAAGGTGGGTTATATTCTAGCTAGTGTTTTATTTTCAGTCAGTATCGTTATAGTGACCTGTATGTATATCTATATTGGTACAGTGGTGCGACGACATGAAAGAGATATTCAAAACACGTCAACCATATCCCCCACCGATAACGTAGGCGCAAGTGGTTTGTTACGTGATAAGAAAAATTTGATAACTTTGGCGATTATTGTGCTCCTTTACATTCTGTGTTATACTCCTATGACTGTTACCTTGGTTGAAATTATGCTGAATTGGGAAACAAGGATTCAATTTTTTGATAATAATTTACCTTACCATTCAGGAATACTTCTAATGGCCAACAGCATCATCAATCCTATAATCTATATCTGGAGATTAAAGACAAACCGCGAAGATTGTCATCAAAGACTTGTGAGCTGTTTTAAAATCTTGAGGCGGAATTCTGTGGCGGAATCCACGGTTCGTCAGAGGCAGCAAGGTCAACCCAAGAACAGGGCAGACGTGATAAACACTAATTCTTCTTCAATTCCTTAAGTTGAAGATTTGAGAACATTGGCAATTAGTGAAGTATGGTTGCGAGAGCTGACTTCAAAAGGACAAGAACTTGGAGATATTCCTTTCTCCGATTGCACACCATGTTCCTTGATCGACGGTGCACCCTCTCTCAATTCTCTCAGTCAAAAATGACACTCTCTCCCTTTTGCATACCATACGTCATTACCTATATTTTCCAATTAACGACATTTAGAGTAGATTATTGTTGTTGATAATGGCGGCATTAGAATTATTGTTTTAACTAATTAAATTAACTGGAAATCGTAAGTCTTGTTATTCGAATATTTCCCATTCCAAAGAAATACAACTGGTTGGTTCTTTTTCAGAATGACCAATGTGTACAAAATACAAAATATAGTGTCCAACTAGCGAGCATTGGACACCATTAAACTCAAAAGTGTAGGAAATGGACACTGATTCTATGTTTATTTTTTTAATAAAACACCTGTTACAATTTTTTAAATATAATATACAACATATCACCGTCAATCGATGGGTTTGTATGTAACTTGGCCAAAACATCACTAAATATTCCTGTTTGATTATTGCCACGCCCAATGAAATCAAACTACGAACTAGGAGCATTACAAAATACATACACTTGACAGGACAATGAAATGCCGAGAGTAATCTCGAATACTTTCTATAATGTCTATATTTCCTGTTTTAGCAACAACCCAAACCCCTACAGGGATGCTTACATCTAGGGAGAACTGAGAACAGTTTCTTCTGGCATGATTGGTTAAGCCATTACAATGGTATAACGGAAACGTAACCTTTAAAGCGACAGTGCGTCAATTTTGGGGTTGATTTGAGTCTTAAATATATAGTCGGTCAGTATCGTTATAGTGACAAGTTTAAATATCTATATCGGTAAAGTTGTTCGACGGCATGAAAGAGACAAAATACGTCTACCACCACCAATATAGCAACTTCATTTAGGGTGTAAAATAACTTTTTGTTGATTCAAAAATTATCTCATTTGTTTAAAGTCTAAAAGTTAATTTTATGTGATCTGAATTTTGTATTTGTCTCCCTTTAATTGCATTATTCTCTGGAAAGGTGCTGTATTATTTTGTTTGCTTTGAGATGGTCACTCTTTCTATTAGTAAGTTTATATGAAGAAAATAAGGCCAAAACGTGTCTGTAAGCATAATTTAGTTAGTTTTCAATGTATTCCAGATAATTATTCTAAGTATCATTGTGTATGTTCTGCACGTTTCAGTTTTATGCAATCTCTGTATGTTGATATTTAAAGGAAAATTCGCTGGTCATTTTATTTCTAAAAATGGAGGATGGCTGATGCAATCATAGACCCACGTGCAGGTTTTCAATCCCTAATTAATTTGGCATAGATTTATATTGTATTAAGAGTACTTTTTTTTTGTCTATTTCAGAAATCATTGACACTGTTATTTAATACTGGAGGAGAATTTCATGTTCCTTAAAAGTTTTATCAATTAATAATATCTCTCTACACTAACTCAAATATTTCTGCTCTCAAGAACTCTCATTCATCACTTGTCACAATCATACCTAAACTGCCAAGGATAAATAAAGGAGTTTTCGTCATCATATGAAGTTGGTGTTGTTTGATGAGCCAGAAGCATATGGGGTTCCATCGAGTCGGTGCATTTAGATGTTCAGCCCCAAATTCAAGAAGATTAAACGGATTGGCGGTTATACCTTTAACCTTAACTTTAAGACCCCTGCTTTAACCACTCAAATTCCTTCACAATCTCACAAAATCCCAGCGCTGGAGAGGACCGTTATTTGATTGGTTAAAGCAGGGGTTAGGTCAATGGTTATTTTAGGCCCTAAATGAAGTTGCTATAGTAAAAACAAAAGCTAATTTTAATTAGACTTATCTAGTTTGCAAAAATGAAACATGAAATGGATTTCAAAATATTTTCTCCTAACATTATTTTGTTCATTTGCCACACTGTCTACCTACAATTTATCGTTAACACCCTAAAATACACATGCTTTAACGGGTTTTATTGTTATGGTCCGCTATGTAATAAACGGACCCTCGCAATTCATAATCAGCCAGTCTCTGTCCTGCTACGATAAGCCTATAACCAAAATGAACCATAAGTTATGTTAAAGATCAGAAGGACAAATTTCAAAGAAAAGAGGAAAGAAAGAACGCTGTAAGTAAGTTTATTGCAAAGAGCCATTTAGACTCATCAACATGATATATAAATATATACAATATATACAATATATACAATGCAGAGATTATAAACTATATAAATAATAACAATATATATAACATGATGATAAGTATAAAGAAGGATTATAATAACCATTAAACATCTATAAGTCTCTCTTCCTAACAGAGCAAATTAAGTATCTCGCAAGGTTACAAAGCTGCTTTTTATTTTGTATTGATAAAAGTTCTTTTAGTTTTAACATTGACGGTTTGTGCCAATAGTAACGTTTAATATATTTCTCACGTAACTCATTATAATTTGTACATTGCAATATAAAATGATATTCGTCCTCTTTTGATAATTTATCACATAAAATACAGATTCGGTTTTCTCTTGCGATTTTACTATACCTGCCTATTTCAACATTCAGCATATGAGATGACAATCTAAACTTAGAAATAACATAGCGATAAGAATCTGGGATTGATTTGGATAAGTAATATTGTAATGTAAAATGAAATGGTAGATTTTTATATATTAAACATTTGGAGGATGACTCAAAACAAGCAAACATTTCTTGGAGAAATATATCTTTAAGTCTACATGTTATAATATTAATGCTTTAATGCACAGTTTGGTTAAGCGGATAATGTCATATATAACCAAAACCCAAAGAGTATAGCAGACTCTTTATTTCTCCAAGCCAATTAGGGCTAGTATTAATGTTTTCGTTCATATCCTCGTATACACATTGTAAAATACAATTTTCACTTGTCAAAATTTTAAACCAATATTTGATGATTTGAATATAGTGTGTTATATATAACGGGAATCTACCTAACTCTGCATACATCATAAAATTCATTGTGCCTCTTTTTACATGTAATATATATTTTAGAAAATCAGTGTGAACCATTTCAATTTCCTTGGAAATTCTAAAACCCCATATTTCGCAACCATAATTTAGAACAGGTGAGACGTAGGAATCAAATACATTTAATTTAGCTTCAATATTTAGTGAATTTTTGTTACATATATTAAGTATATTAAACATACACTTATTCCCTTGAGATGATATTCTTGACTGAGCTTTAACAAATTTACCATTATAAAATAAATTCACCCCCAGGTAATTGAAACTGTTCACAACTTCTATAGGTTTACTATTATATAACCATGTACAATGTTTCGGGAGTTTGTTTCCCTTTCTAAATACAACTATTTTTGTTTTCTCAACATTCACCTCTATGTACCATTTACATGCATATACGTACAAAGTGTTAAGATTTTCCTGCAATACATTAATAGTTTCTGAGACAAGAGCTGTGTCGTCTGCATACAATGTCAAGAATATTATTAATCAAACCCTGTAAAGCAAAGATGAGTCAATCGTCCCATAGCCAGGCTTAAATCCAAACTGGGCGTCTGAAATACACCTATATTTATCTGACTATACTAACAATCTATTATTCAAAATACATGTAAATATCTTAGACAAACAACTGACCAAAGAAATACCTCGATAATTTTGTACATCGTTAATAGAACCTTTCTTATATACAGGAACAATGATAGCTTCAGACCCTTCGTCCGGAAAGCACCCCTTTTCAAAAATCAATGTACATAAGTTTGGAATCATAATGACTACGCTAATGACTACTATAGATGATAATCAACAGAAACTAGTTATTTTAAAGGGATAGACCGGTTTATTTTCAACGTGAAAAATTACGCTAATTATGCGTGAAACTATATCTAAACCCTTTATATAGTTTCTATAAAATACCTGCATGGCTACTAAGGAATTGTTTAAAACATCAAATTTACTATTATAATTGATACGAGACCGATGTTTTCTCGTGAATGGTTTCTTAGCGTCTCAGAAAGGAATTCCGAGAATATACGGACATGCGCAGAATGTTTTGTTTACAAATGACGACGAATTCAAAAATATAAAAATTAACTTTGTTTGTGTACTTCTCCGGTTGTTACATGTAAATTATAGATTATTATCATTATATCAAAATTCATAAAATCACAATAATGAGAAATTAAAATAACGAAGTTGATCTCTACTTTTATTTTCTATCGAGTCTTCCAGTCGGAAATATGTTAAGTCCAATCAAAAGTGAGTTCTCATAATCGCTATTTTCCAGAACAGTAAAATGGAGGCCGTGAGATTTAAAATACTTACGTAACCGTTGAAGAATTATTTTATCGAATGTGACTTAACGCTTGGATTTTTCACGGTGAAACTTTCACAAAAGGAAAGGGGCATCTTCCTCTACATGATGGCATGAAGAATTATGTATATCACGATGAAGACCACAAAAACTCATTGAAAAAACCAGTCTAGCCTTTTAATCTAATCAGAAACAGCCGTCAGGTGCAGGTTAAAAATAATTAATAAAATACTACTTATCAAATTGATAATATACACGTATATTACTTGTTACCTATTCTGCGGCTATAAAACTCATTTAATACTCTACTGCTTGTTTTGTTTTCTAGCTCAGATGTATTTACTAACATAATATAAGAAATTGGAAATTAAGATAATCGGGTGGCCAAGAGAAAACGATAACACTTTATATTTCAAGGTTATTTCGAAAATTCAATGTTTAAACAATAATATTTTTACCTCGGAATATTAAACATATTTCACTAAATTGCCAATTTGTAGTAGAAACCAATTTAAAATAGAAACCTTTTATATTGTCAAAATATATATGGCCGATAGCGATAATTTTATTGTAATCACCTTTTTGATTTTCTTTATCAAAATCTGTATAAAGTAAGTAAGTAATTTTATTAAAGTCTCACCAGTTATACATAAAAAATATATACAAATAAAACACAACACTATTCAACTGCCATTCTGTTAAGAATTATGAGAGACATGTCATCATTATTAAAACATTGTTATCACAGGTCCGGAAATTTAAAATATAATAAAACTCAATAAAACTCAACAAAAACAAATATAAATACAAATATTAACGTAAAAATAGTTCTATTAATTTTACATATAAACGTTTCAATTTTACTCTGAATTCAGGTTGACCGATAAAGGGTACATTTTCTATGTTTTAGAATATCACAGCAAGTTTTGGCGGTTAATTGGTACATTTCAGGGTGGGATAAAAGGATACACATTTTGTCTTGATCGGTTAATTAATCAAAATTTGGGAATATATTTCTGGCTTTTCTAGTGCAAGTACTTCTTATGTTGGTGTATAATGGGCATCTTAGGAGACAATGTTCTTCATCTTCCACGGTATTAGGGCAATTAAAACATGTTCTGTTTTCAATGGGGATGCCTTCGTATCTACCTGTTTCTATGCGGATTGGAGCTACACCACATCTAAATTTAGCTAGGGCACCGCGGTGAGATCTGAAATCTATGAATGATAACACTTAAGTATTAAAGCTGTAATCTAATCTTATCTTTTTGACAATGAATTTTATAAAGGCTGTTATTTTAAAATGGTTCAACCTATAAAGCTGCAATTTGGTGAGAATATTTCTGATCTCCCTTAAAATATGAGGTCGAAATATTATGATCATCAATTTGATAGTTTCTGAAAAATCCTGAAATGAAAAGTGTTATAGTTTTATCTGAGTCACTCGATATTTATTCATTTTTTTAAAACTCCAAGTTCAAACTTTAACTATGTTGAAACCAGATTGTGAATTTTAACCGCGTTTTTAATAATTTCAGCCTATACTGAAGAATAAATGAATCAACGAACGAATGAAAATTTCAGTCTATCAGATCAGAATAGCACCATTATTCAGATGACAAATTTTTACACCGTGTTAATTCCATCTTTAGTCACTATTATCTTAAATGTGTTCAGCTTCGGTGTTGTGTTAACCAATCAAAAGCTTCAGGCAAGAATTAAAGTTTGTTTCATTGGTCATTTATTAACTGATTTAGGATTTGGAGTTTCAAACTTAAACTTTCCTCTAGGACATTTAATTGAAACTCAAAATTCCTCATCTTGTTACTGGAGAGTTATAACGTATTTTGGATTTCTATCTGTAACAAGCTGCATGACTTTATTACAAACTTTCGATCGTTTCCTCGTATTGAAACTGACATATTCATATGTCGCTTGGATAACCGTGACTAAAATGATCATCATGGTCGTCATTGGATTTAAAGCGGAAGTCAAAGTCGAATGTTTGGGTCTTTCAGGGGGCAAGGTGGGTTATATTCTAGTTACTGTTTTATTTTCAGTCAGTATCGTTATAGTGACCTGTATATATATCTATATTGCTAGAGTTGTTCGACGGCATGAAAAAGATATACATCATACGTCAACCACCATCACCACCACGGGAACCGATGACGTAGACGTGAGTGGTTTGATACGTGATAAAAAGAATTTGATGACGTTGGCGATTATTGTGCTCCTTTACATTCTATGTTATACTCCTATGACTGTAACGTTAATTCAGATAATGTGGAATTGGGAAACAAGGATTCAATATTTTGCTAACAATTTACCTTATCATTCCTTAATCCTCATGATGGCCAACAGCATCATCAATCCTATAATCTATATCTGGAGATTAAAGACAAACCGCGAAGATTGTCATCAAAGACTTGTCAGGTGTTTCAAACTTTCCGGCGAAATTCTGTGGTGGAATCAGCAGGTCAACAGAGGCAGGTTGAATCTCACTATAGTCTGAACGTAAGGAGTATCAAATCGTCTTCTGTTCCATAGCTGGTCCTTTATTAAAAACCAGTGCAATATTTACATTGTGAATTTCGTTATCCTTCTGTTAATCGTCACACAAAATTATTATTGTCACTTATAATTTAACTTTAAATTTGTTTTATTGGTTTATATAGCTAAATTATATATTTCATAATTGAAATATTTTCGCTGCCTTTGTCCGTCCACATTTCTTGTAGAGGCTTCAGTTTTGACCTGATTTTGATGTAACATGGTACTATCATAATAAGGGATAATAAAGAGGTTTTCCAAAATATTCTAGTAGGCTATAATTAAATGCAAAAACAAACTTTAACTCTTGCCTGAAGCTTTTGATTGGTTAAAACAACACGTGATAATGACTACCGGGATACCCCCAGCCTCGGAAGGCACTGAGGTCTATGGGATGAAAGTCAACCTGAGGTCTATCGGATGAAAGTCTAAATAAGAATGATATGTGGAATTTCCATCATTCTATTTAAGATGTGTCCCTGCATTTACATTTAATTATAGCCTACTAGTATATTCATTGTTGATGTTATTTAAAAATGCCGAGTGTGAGTTTCTTTTCATACACCCATAGCTTTTAACGATTGATGTCAATTTTTAATATAAATATCCAACAAAATGTAGTTATTCCCCTTTGGTCGCCCAGCCCTTCAGAAAATGGCGGTGTATAAAGAATTTTACCATCGAGAAGGGAACATCTGAGCGCTTAAGAAAATGATGGTCTATTCTTTGAAGGGAAGAAACTCCAACTTTGCCTTGCGTAGTAGGACTACAAATATTTTCTATTGGAAAGTTCAATAAAATATTCGTTAGGTTTGGTTATTAATTTGGGGCATATAAAGGTTTGGGAATTTGTTCTGACTGAGGGTGAAGTTTCATACCCTTGTCTTATAACAAGGATGAATTGTAGGATTGCTAACCCAAAGAGGCTGTTATATTGCTGTACTTTGGGTTTATTGATTTCCTACAATTCAAACTTGCTTGAAAGTAAATTGATTTATAAATGTATTGTAGTTCTATATTTTGAAATATAAACTCGATCATCAGAATACAGAACAGAGTGAGAACAGAGGAGAACAGACACTCACAAAATGAAACAAAAAACTCAGCAAAATATCAAGATTTGCATTTTAATCATATTTAAACATCTTTATACACAATCATTGTTTTTGGAACCGTCGCAAACTCCGCTATGAACACGTGTGAAACATTTCAACTTTGATCACTAACTTTGACATCAGATATCCCAAATGAGCGCACAGAAAGTAGCAAGAATGATCGTATCACGAATACGGGTTTTGACATGGTCCCAAGGAAGTATGACGTATGGGGGTTTGGTTTGGACACGATGAACAGCAATATACTACCAAATATCTTCATGTACGGCATACAAACGGTCTTGGTCAGCGATTTTTGTCGCCAACTAGAGTCTTTTCAAGACAGGCTGCGTGCACACACGTTTTCCACTATGTCTATATAATCAAGTGCAGATCATGAAATTGAATGAAAATGAATCTGATTGTATGATGACACTGAGTCTTGCAGAAGATAAAACAATCGACGGAAAACTGGTTTGGTATTATAATTCATTTTGGCAACGCGATAA